GATTTAAGAAACAAACAAGTTTAAAGCCCTTCTCTAAATTCTATCTCTTTCATTCCCCCTAAGATAATTACTGGTATATTGTGGACTTTCAGTTTAAAGATTTTTTTTGTTTTCTTTAGAGAGAGAGGTAGGGAGAAATAGAGGGGGAGGGAGAGGGAAAAGAGAGAGAGAGAGAGACAGAGAGAAAGATATCAATGAGAGGGAAACATTGACTGGCTGCCTCCTGCATGCCCCCTACTGGAGATCAAGCAGGGAACCCAGGCATGCGCCCTGACCAGGAATCAAACCAGCTACCTTTCTGTGCATGGGACAATGCTCATCAACTGAGCCACACTGGCCAGGGCTCGTGTGGACTTTTAAGTGTAAGTGCACATATGCAATTAAATATTATTATTATTATTATTTGCAACCCAGGTACATGCCCTTGACCAGAATCGAACCTGGGACCTTTCAGTCCGCAGGCCGACGCTCTATCCACTGAGCCAAACTGGCTTCGGCCTGTTCCATCTTTTAGTTGTATTTTTGAAGTGGTTGTTCGAGGCAGCGAACTCGGTGTTTACCTATACTGCCATCTTGGTTTCTCCTGAACTTTCTCCTTTTCCAAGAACATTTTTTTTAACGAGTATGGATTATTTTTATGAACTGGAAAATAAAATGGTTGGGTTGAACTAAAACTGAAAAAACAATGTTTTATTTATTTATTTAAAAAATGTATATATTTTTTCTTATTGATTTCAGAGAGGAAAAGAGAGGGAGAGAGAGAAATCTCACTGATGAGCTCCAGTTGGTTTTGCCCAGTGGGTAGAGCGTCAGCCTGCAGATTGAAGGGTCCCAGGATCAATTCTGGTCAAGGGCACATGCCTGGGTTGTGGGCTTGACCTCCGCGGGGGCTGGGGGGAGGGGGAGGCAGCTGATCAATAATTCTCTCTCATCGTTGATATTTCTATCTCTTTCTCCCTCTCCCTTCCTCGCTGAAATCAATAAAAATATATTTTTAAAAATATCAATGATGAGAAAGACTCATTAATCAGCTGCCTCCTGTACATCCCATGCTGGGGACCAAGTCTGCAACCTGGACATGTGCCCTGACTGGGAATCGAACCGTGACCTTCTGGTTCATAGGTCAACACTCAACCCCTGAGCCACGCCGCCGGGCTAAAAGGTTAATCTTTTAAAGAATTCATATGTGTGTTGACACATAATAAGACAGAACTACTAAGACTTTAAAATTAAAATATTTAACTTCTTCATTTTCCAACAAACTAGTCTCTTTATTAAAAAAACTACTGGAATGGGAATAGTTTTTCAAATTCCTACATTAAACATATAGAGATTATCTATGAACAAAGGAAAAAATTTGGTGATAACTTTATCAGAGGTAATCACAGTTAACTTTAAAAATGGATCTAATAAAAAATTTTAACCTGCCTTGTCCACCTTGTAACATTGTGAACATCTCTCTTTCTTTTTAAAATATATTATTGATTTCAGAGAGGAAGAGAAACATCAATGATGAGAGAGAATCATTGATCGGCTGCCTCCTGCACATCTCTCACTGGGGATCAAGCCCGAAACCCAGGCATGTGCCCCCAACCGGAATTGAACCCGGAACCCCTCAGTCCACCAGCCAACGCTCTATCCACTGAGCCAAATCAGCTAGGGCTTGTGAATATCTCTTGAAAGCAGTATTTTTCTTTATCACTTTTAACAGTTACAAAGAATTCCACTGTAAAGATGAATTATTTTTCCCAGACTCTACTTATGGATAATTAGTTTTTTAAATCTAATCTGAATTAGATTATTTCCAGGTTTGTGGTGCCCGTTCTCGGTGGTGCCCATTGTCTCCATGAGCTGCTCCTCACCGGTTTCCGACATTAGACCGGAGCGCGGCGGCCCCGCCCAAAAGACTTGCTTAGGCCCGCACGGTACCTCCGCCTGACAATGCCCACTGGTGGCGCTCCCAATTAAATATTATTTATTTTTAGGTAGCTTTCACTTTTTTGTTGCTATTGAGAGTCTATATTTTTGTTTTTTTTTTTTTTTGCTGCTACCATAAACAATATGGAGGAATATGTTCACTGCAAAATCTTTATGAACATCCATGATTACTTCCTTGGGTACATTCTTATAAGTGGAATTCTGAATCAAAGAATGTGTATGTTTTAAAGCTCCTATTGCCTGTTGCCAGATTACCTTCCAATTTTCACTCCTATTGGCAGGGCATCAATTATCTTTTTCTCCATGTTCTTGCCAACATCTGGAATATTCTTACCAACCTTTTTTCTGTGGTAGTCAGTTTTATAGATGGAAAGTCATCTTATTATTTTAGTTTTTATTTTTATGACCACTAGTAAGATTTACCTTTTTCCCCCAAAGTTTTTTGGTAAATTGCATTCTTTTAGTATTTGCCTATTTTCTTTGTTTTAAAAGTAGTAATTTCTCCTAAAAATGTATTAGAAAAAACATATGGGGATTTTCTATGGATAATTCTGTGTCAAATCATGAGTTCTTTAACATATAATCTTTATATAAACGATTTAAGAAACAAACAAGTTTAAAGCCCTTCTCTAAATTCTATCTCTTTCATTCCCCCTAAGATAATTACTGGTATATTGTGGACTTTCAGTTTAAAGATTTTTTTTGTTTTCTTTAGAGAGAGAGGTAGGGAGAAATAGAGGGGGAGGGAGAGGGAAAAGAGAGAGAGAGAGAGACAGAGAGAAAGATATCAATGAGAGGGAAACATTGACTGGCTGCCTCCTGCATGCCCCCTACTGGAGATCAAGCAGGGAACCCAGGCATGCGCCCTGACCAGGAATCAAACCAGCTACCTTTCTGTGCATGGGACAATGCTCATCAACTGAGCCACACTGGCCAGGGCTCGTGTGGACTTTTAAGTGTAAGTGCACATATGCAATTAAATATTATTATTATTATTATTTTTAGGGGTTTTTACATTTTTATTTCAAAAGCTTGGATAGCTTCAATATCCAGGTCGTGGCAAAATCAGGACACGTGTAAAATACCTTACAATACATTAGATTCCCAAAAGGTACCAAAAAGTACAGTAAAATTAACACTTCCATTACAGGAAATGTATGACACAAATAATATAAAATTAAAAGGTGAAAAAAGGTGACACTGGTTTCCTAAGATAGACTTTTTTACAACCAGGGTCCACAGGTCCAGGATGCAGAGCGGCAGCAGGAAACTGACCCTCCCACCTGGCTCTGGGTAACCCGGTAATAAAATCAGCCCACAAAGCCGCTCTGGCCTCTGAGACACCACACGCTGCCTAAAACAACGAGAGCTCTGGAAATAGTAAACAAGAGAGTGATTTCCAGGGGGGAAATTTTAAATAAGATGCACATGGGACAGGCCATAGAAAGTATGCCAAGTTAAATTTGGTACATAATTGTTTGTGTTCACTCAATATCCAAACAAAGCGTGTGCGGTCAGACGGGCACTCTTGCCGAAGCCTCAGTATGGCTTGTAGTTATTCTGATGGCCACCACGTCGCTGGCTCTTCCCGTAATTCGTACTACCCTGACTGTAGTCGTATCGGGGACGTAGCCGTAATAGCCATAGGGCGAGTAGTCGTAGCCCTGATTCCAACTCTGACTCTGACCTCCTCCACTTCCACCGCCACCACCACTGCCTCGGTTCCCTCTGTTGCGGTTTCCACGGCCCCCAGAGCCATTCTGCTGCTGTTGATAGACTTTTCTGGGCAGAGCCACCTTGATTTCACACTATAAGCCAAGAGGACAGGAAGTCAGGACACTGGGACAAGTCCTGGGGGGAGACG